ATTAATTACATGAACATCTGGGCAAGTTACTACTTAAGACATAAATTAACTGGTTAATCATATCCAGGGGGGATTAAAAAAAAAAAAAAAAAAAAAAATCAATTTTTTTAAATCAGATTTTTTAAAATTGTTTTTCTTAAGATGCTTTAAAAAAAAATAAACCTATATAACAAAAGTTTTAATTTAAGATATGTTAAAGCTCAAAAGATATCAACGTGGAATAGGGATTATAACTTCTAATTATATACTATTTGAGACAATATATTCATGCAACCTTTTTAGAAAAGTTTCATAAATAGGTCACAACAGGCCATAGACTATATTAGGGGCCCAATCTTATGGGGTTCCCAGAGGCTAATCGATAGATTAGTAAAGATTAAAGAAAACCACTTTACCCAACGGGACTCAGTTCTCAGTCTAGAATAGGGGTCAGCAATCTTCTTGGGAAGAGTGCCGAAAACACCAGCAACCTCGACTTGCAAGATGTTGGTGTGTCTGGGGTGGATGGTGGGGAAGCCATGAGGTGTCTGATCCTTGTTGAGGCAATGCAGCCCTGGCCCCTTCCCTGCCATCTGCTCTGAGGTGTGTGCACCAAGCAAAATGCCTTCGAGTGCCACACTCTGGAACCTGTGCTGGGGGGTTGCCTACCCCTGGTTTAGAAGATCCCATTAAGCATCTCTGTGATGCTTAGTTTCAGTTCTCAAAGTGTGGATTTGTCGCCAGAGACAACATCCCTGTTAACAGCAGTATATGGAGGTAAGAGAGAACAGACCCGATTACCCACCCATCAGCTCTATTGTCTCTCTGCAAGTCTGTATACAGAGTCAAACCCTTACCTCTCTCTAAAAGTGCAAAGTTTCAAAAAGTTAAATGAAGAAGATTGTTTGGGGTGGAGTAGATCTGGGTTAGGAGGAGGAGTCTGGAGATGAATGCAAGGAGGGAAGGGCAGTAAAACAAAAGAGAAACATTGTGAGCAGAATATTTCAGAAGTCTTTGGGAATAAGTTTCTGAGTAGAGCCTCTCCATTGATTTGAGATCTAGTGAGGGAATGAATGGTAAGGTACAAGGGAAAACCTATCGTGGTGGCAGGCTTGCTAGGCCATAAAAGAGAAGTGAAGAAAACCCCAAGCTAATAACATATGGCTGCAGCACTCATTTGATGTCCCCCTAATACAGCATGGCAAAAATATCCCCCAAATACCCGTGATTAATCTAGTGAATTGGAGACAGTTCACCTCCCAATGACTTCATAAATATCTGCTTCAGTTAACTGTGGTAAATAAAAGTAACCAAATCATAATTCAGTTCGATGTAGCTGCAAAATTAATCTGAAAAAATATCAAAATAAATCACTGCTTTAAGATGTACAGTGTGTATCTTCTAAAAATGAAACCTACATCTATTTCTGAGTTGTGAATAATATGTTTTAAGGTTATAACAAACAACAAGAATGCACATTTTGTAGAAAACAGTAATCAAATTGAGGCTTCCTGACCAGTGATTTAAATTGATTTGATTTTAATCAAATCAACCCTGGTCGTTTCTTAAATGTAATTAACGTCTGTCTGCCAGGGGCCTAAATCTACTGCTTTAACATTTTCAGCCTTTTCTATATTTAAGACTGATGCATGTTCACGTGGACCTTGTAGAGGAAAATGAAAGAACAAAACACCACATTGACCCAATTTTCCCCCCAGTGGAAGTCACGGGGGATTATGCATCTCTGGCCTTAAATTAAACAGAAAGGTAATGAACTGGAGCAAAGTGTGAGTTTTAATAGGCAGCTCACCTTGTGTCTTCTTCCATTTTCTGTCTACAGACAGCTGCTAAATTTATCATTTTGGAGCAATATTCATCTGAACCCACAATACAAGCTGAAAGAACAATGGGATGCTTAGTTAATTACACACAGATGAATCAAGCATAATCGGATATTGGTAATATAAAACAATGGAAAGCAATGTTTCTACTCAGGTGGGTTTTTATAATATCCACTCATCATTTGAAGTCAGAACCTGCAATATGCAGGAAGCACTCAGCATCATGCAAGGTAAGGCCCATTAGCAGGGCTTATGACTGCTTTTTAATTCTTAAGTGCTATAAACTGGATTGTCACAGTAAGCTCCATCTTACAGGAAGCCATATAGCAAAGTATCTGTTCTCTTTCTATTTAAAGGACCTTAATCTGTCTGTGCCAAATTTCAACAGAAGAAACCGACCACAGTTTCAGTTTGTAGAGAACAGAACAATTTACTGGAAAATAAGAGCATGGCTCCAGAGCCCTAAGTGACTGCTCTTGGAAAATCCAACGGGGTAAGAAAGAGAAAGCCTCCTTGACAGTTACCTTGCCTCTCCCTATGTGGGCTGCTTGGTTCAGAGCTGACCTTCCTTTTGATGCCTTGAGAAGGCTGGCTAGCATTAAATGAAGCATGCCGCACGAGTCTTTGTTTCCCATTAGCACAAGTTTGATGCTGGGTACACACTCCTCTCTTCATTTCTGGTAAAGCAGCTGATGTTGGAATGTCCATTCTTGGCTCATCTAAAGGAATATGTTTTTGTAAGTTATCATCTGAAGGAAACCTTTTGTCATTCTAGTGTCTGCCTGGCAATGAGTTTTGACCTGGACACTAAGGGAACCTCTGGCTCCAATCCTCTGCATTTTTGTAATAATCCAAAAACAACATTAAAATTAGTGTATAAGAAAAACGCACCCTTCCACTCCCAGAGTCTGCAGTATCCAAGCTCTGCTGACTGCAATGAGCAGACAAAGGGGCAGAGCAGCTAGGCAGCAGTAATATTAACCCACCTTTCTCCTTGACCCTGGTACTGTCAACTCTCAAGTACAGAATTAAGCAACAAAAGGACTCTATTTTGCGCTAGCTTCCACACACATTTCTGGTAGCCAAGGATCACCAGGTTGTAGAGATGCCCTTGCATTGCCCCTTTTTTCTTCTCAGACAAACCCTCTGTCAGGGACCATAAGGCACAGAAGCAGCTCTAGATTTTAAGTCCATTTCCTCCTTACAGGGAGGATAGTCTGCTGCCTGCGAGGGCAGATTCATGGTCCTCTTTGCAGCACAGGGGACCACAGCCCGGACCAGAACTGAGTGCTGTGGACCTTATTTTTCCATTACTTTGCATGTTGTGTGGTTAAGCAGATCAGTGTAAAATGCAAACAGCCACAGGATCCCAGAGTATCTCCAATCTCAGCAGTTGCTGTGACATTGTGACAATAACATTTTTTAAGAAGTAGCAGGAAACAAACATTAGGAATTTCATCTACTATTTGTACACGGGTATAAAAGCACTTAATTCCGACTCGTCTGTAGCTAGAACACAGTAGAAGGAGATTGGGAAGGGTGCTCCCAGAGCAAAAGACTCAAATTACCACTTTTTCCACTGAATTCTACAGGCCCAATCCACTTGAAGGCTGGTTTGCGACCCCGCTCTTCTGTGACGTGCACTTTCTTTATGAGCCCCAAGCTGGTCAGAACGTTGGCAATATCATACAATCTTCGTACCTTTGCTGAAAGGTAAACAAGAGTACAAACAAACAGGCTGAGAATATATCTGAACAAGCCAAGGGCTTTCTGCCAAGCAAGTCAAGACAAATTTCATGAATGGATAGAAAGGGGTAAATCAGCTTATGCACAAGTAACTCTTAAGAGCTCTTTCTAATTCCTCTAACTCCAATGCATTTCATGATGCTTTAGCTGTGTCATGGCATCTTAAATTCAAATTGTGCAGTTAAACTTCTCTTTTCACCCCCTGCGCTCCTGAAGTTTTGAGGGTTGGAGAGAGTTTTTTCTATGACAGTCGTATGTATTTAACAAAAAAGACTTAGCTCATTCACACTGCAAACTCACACGGCCAGGCTGCAGCACCTCAGACATACCACACTGCTCTGTGCAGGCTACCTCCTAAACCAGCAGTGTAGCTGCATTCATAAAACATTGTGCCCAGACTTATCAGTCTTGATGAGCAACAGCACTAACTAGCTTATATGCAGTGCTGTATGAATGCACTTCACTACTGCCAGTTCAGGAAATAGGACATGCAACATGCCTAATTTGGGAAATTGATAGAGCAGACATAGCTTTAATCTCAGAAGATATGATCAAAGCTGGCTGAGATTTACGAACTACTAAGGCGGGTATCAGCAACCGATGGCCTGAAAGCTTGAACTGGCCAGTGGAGGCATTGGATCCAGTGCACGGACATGGGGCTTCAGCAGCAGGAACCTTCCCTATGCTGCAGCAGGGACAGTGACAGCATGATGTGGGGATACAAGGGGGAAGAGCAGTGGTGACAGCCAAGTCCTAGCATGCCCTTTGATCCCATCTGGGTCATTCCTGCCCACAGCCTAAAAGGGTTGCTAATTGCTGACCTAAGAGATTTAAAGCACTATTTCCATTAATTTAAATAGAAACTGGGCACCTAAATCTTCTAAACAGTCTTTTAAAAATCTCATTTGCTGTTGCAACTAGATGGGAAATTGTTTTCCTCTCCCAAAATCGGGATGAAAGTTATAAGTCTCAAAAGAAAAAAACAAAACAAAATTTGTGAACCAAAAATCCAAAAAAAAATTTCAGTTAAATAATAAAAATCAAATGACATGTTGACAAACATTTTTAATTTTTATATTTTATTTGTGATAAAAGTCTAAATAGTTAAAAGGGGAAAATGATTTTTTTCAAATTAAGTATTTTATGTTATGAATTTTCTGAAGTCCTTCCTCCCCCTTTTCACCAAAAGATGTTTTGTTGAAAGATTCCTTATTTGCTCCAATTATCATCTACTGCTTGCAAGTATGAATGTGACCCCATTTTCCTTACTGGGCACATCTACATGTGCAGTTAATGCTATTTGGCTTTACAGTGCAGTAAGTGTACTACCTGCATGTGAATTTAATAGATGCACATGCAGGTAGTAAATTTACTGCACAGTAGGTGCCTGCATGTGTAGATGGTGACACTTTACAGTAGATTTGGCTACTGTGCAGTAAAGTGCCTCATGTAGACATGACCACTGAGTACGTAATTAATTCACCTCTCAACAGTAATGCTTACTTTTAAACTTGCTATGATCCGCTGCATCCTGGCTTTCTTCAATCAGTATTTTTGCTGCAATGTCGAGAGTGACTATCTTGGTTTTGGAGACAAGGAACAGCATGACAAACTTTTGGCTCATAATCCGCAACGACTTGTCCTTTCTGCTGTTTGCAGATGCTGCATTACAAATAACACCCAAGTCTCAGCATGTGTCATCCATCAAAGCCAAGAAAACATTAAGTAGGTTTTTCATGCATAAAAAAAAACCCGGTAAAATATTTCCTTGTTGGGAAGCAGAAATCTTTTTATAAGCAGCAAATAATTGTGTAAAACAGATGGACAGTAAATAGTTTAGCTCACTTCAAAAGGCAATAAAGCCTAAATCTTAAAGAATTAGCTTTACATCTAAGAGACTCTGGACCCGGTACTTTGCATCATTACACAACTTTTGTGCCAATGTAATTTTGTGGACTCAGACAAGCTTTATTCCAACATAGAAAGAGCATAACAAAATAGTGGAAAAAATTGGGCCTTCTGACTTCTTTGATCGATAGAAGCAAGGCAATTAGAAGTAGGGATAGAGAGAATTAAAGCATATGATGAAGCCTTGTACAAGAGGCTGCTGGATGCATCACTGGAAGTGCTGCAATCTTTGATGCGCTGTGGGTAAAAGAGGAGCCTTATCTCCCCAGTTCACTGAGTGCTTTTCACAAATAAAAATATATTCTAAATCATGGCAGTCCAACTAACAGCCCATGAGCCAAATGCAACCTGCAAAGGATTAATATGCAGCCCCTGGGCTTCTACCTGGTCACTGCTCCTCCTATCACTGCAGCTGCTACTGCAGCAGGGGTCTCTAGGCTCCCTCTCCCTGCATTGTGCTTCCTGGTCCTGCCCCGGGGGCAGGGTGATGCAGTCCATGACACTGGGGGAGTCCACAGCACAGTGCAGCAAGAGTGGGAGCTGCCCACAGGGTGCAGCAGTGTGTGGTGTTGGGAAAAGCTTTCACAGCATACACGATGCAGCAAGGGGAGAGGGGAAATGCTGCCCAGAGACCCTTAATATATACTAGTGCTGTGCTGGTGCCCCCAACCCTTAGAAGTTGAACAGCCCTATTCTAAGTCAAGGAGAAAATAAAACTTATTGCCTGCTGAAGACAGTGACCAGAACAGCCTGCTCCATCCGACGCATCAGCTTACCAGAGGGGCAGTCTGCTTCCGAAAAGTCAAGCAATGGTCTGTCTTGAGAATCTGAAACATTCTCCTTCTTGCGCTCTCCAAATTTATACTCAAGGTCTTGCTCTTTCTGCTGGAAATATGCCATTAGTTCTTCGTACTTCTGCAGCAAGCCTATTTCCTGAAGACTTTTCAGAGTTTGCCTCAGGTTGTGTTGCCCATGCCAACAGTATTGATTCTTGGCCACGCGGCTCACGAGGTGCAAGGACTCCAGAACATTTACTATGTCATAGATACGCCTCCGCTCAACCCCTGTTTCAAGGAAGCATGAGAGGCTTAGAAAATCGGTTCATTTTTCACAGGCTGGCCAATGGACTACTAATATTAAAATGCTGCTGCCCCCCACTCCTTTCTTTTCACACACGTGTAAACTGACTAAGATCTTGTCGCACTTCCCAGCATAGTTCCCTCTCCTCATTTTCCTAGGTAAATTTTAGGAAGCCTGATTCTGTCTCCACAGGAATCAATCCTCCAGCCCTGCTCTAGCAATGCAGTGTGTTATACCCATTGCAAACAAAACAGGCACATCTACACGAGACACTGCCTGTGCAGTAGCTTGATACTACTGTGCAGTAGTATTGCATGACAAAAACTGTGCCAAGACTCTACTGTGCAGTAGCATCACTTAAAAGGCATTTGCCAGTGCCACTGCATAGTAACTTCAGTTAGTGCACATGTATTTAGTACTTATTTACACAAGTACTAAATAAATACACAGTAATGACTGTGTAGTAGCATCTCATGTAGATGTGCCCACTAGGTGCTTAGCACATGACACATGAAGCAACAGTTAGGCCCACCATCCGAAACAGGAATTGAAGCAAGCCCTCACTATCTAGCCCAAATACGATTTTTCAAAATGTCTCACCAGTGTTAACTGTGGCTCAGCTTTACTGGTGTTAGCAAGTGTTGGAACCTCAATACAAACCTGCCACTGGCTACACTGCCCATTTTAAACATTGTCATCTAACTGTGCTCGAAGCAAGTCTGTGCAACATGGAGCATGAAGAGCTGGCGGCAGCTGTCTGCACCTGGCCGTCTGCCACTGCTAGTGGCTGTGGAGCTGAAAAACAGTTAATAATGCTGGGAATTTGGGAAAGGTTCCCTGAAGGAACACAGGACCTCTAGGTGACTGTTCACCCATCTGGAAAATATGGAGAATACTCACCAGCTTCACCTGGGCATTGGGATAATAAATTTATGAATATTTTAAAATGATGTGGAAAACCTTGAATAAAACACATTACAGAAGAGTGGAGTGCTATGCGCACACATTCAGTTTTTTTTTTTTTACAAGGATAGCTTATTTGAACACTAGCATCATAAACCCTCTCCTACATGATTTTATCTACAGAATCCAAGCACAAGGATGGTGTGTTTATGGGAAAAGAGAGATGATGGCACGCTTTGTCAAGATACTTGTTTAATGATTGGCGGCCCTCCTAATCTCAGATGCTATACTCTGAAAGCAAATAACATCAAGATTATATAATCAGTAGTAAACGACACCCAAGCTGCCTTCCCACCTCTGAAATCATCAGCATACTGCCAACTGGTGTGGCAGTTGGCATTAGAATAAGCAAGATTTAATCAGTGTAATTGGTGAAAACTGTGCATCCTATGTTTTAAGATATTATTTGTCCTCCATTCATTGTCTGATCCTGCATTTCTTAATGTTTCTTTGGGCCAATGGACTCCAGTGGGAATTATGGCTACACAGGGATCAGACAGATGCCCCCTGGCTAAGATTTATTAGCCAGAATAATTTTAGACCTTTTGAAGAATGTGTGCGTAAACAGAAAAGGAACAGAAAGAGAAAATGTATGAACTAAAGCTGAGGGCTTGACTCAGACCATCCTGTCCCAGTGGCAGTGGGATATGGGAAGACAAACTGTTGTAGAGGGCAGAAGAACAATAACTACTTCCCTCCTTCTCCTGGCATTTAAAGATGGTGACTTTGTACCACTGGCTTCTAAACAAGCTTTTCAAAGCCAGAACCTTTGTAAATACAGCCTTGTATATTTACAGCAAATGGTATTAATTCCACTTAGGAATGGAGCATTACAGATGTTTAGCTTTGGGAGGTCACAATATTGAGACTGTCACTCTAGCAAAAAGGGGACTAACACTTAAAACTTCAAATTGTCTGAAAACAATTTTTTAAAAATTCCACAGCAGCCAGTCCTTCACTCCATCTGTTTTTCCCACCAAATCCTTCTGTTGGAACTGTCTCTCTTCTCTTGCCCAGAAATAAGCACAGATTTTAGGGAGTGGTCTCACCAGCTCTTCAGTCCTGCTCTACTTTTCTTTCCACAGTATATTGAACTGGATTTTTTCCCTGAAAGTCCACAGCTAATTTGCTACTTTTCTTCCTTTAGATATCTGGCTTCTGAATTATTTTTTCTCTGAAGTAGTCTTTTACATTAATTCAGTTGTAGTCTTATTCTGCCATGTCCTGCAGAAATTATGCATAACCACTTTTGGTTCTTTTGTATTGTTTTTTCTGTCTTGGCTGATCCTCACAATCTCTCTCAGTTTTTAATTCTTATCTCAAATGATTAATGAAGAAGTTTAATAATCCTGGACTTAACAATGGTCCCTGAAACAAATGGTTAGATACTTCCACCCAATTTAATGCTTGCACTTTATCACATTCCCTTCTTTGTAGCCCTCTTGCCAGCTTTCATACTGAAAGATAACATTCACAGCTGAGACCATGTGGGTAGGCAAGATTCCTGAAGATACTGTCAGATGCTTTACTGAATCAAAATATAAAACCTCCTCAATTTCCCTTATCCATCAATTTGTAACTCTATACAAAAAAAATCATAATTGTTTGATGTGATTTATTCTTTATAAACCCTCTTTCTTGAGAGTTCAGTTAGGCCAAAATTAAAAATCCAGGACTATATAAATAGTACCAGGATTTGCTGGAAGATGACACTCAGAAAGTAATTTATAGCTGGATGTGCAAATGGTTGGGATTTGTGCAAGTGTTAAAGACTTGCCGCTCCTGTTGAATTCAGGTGGGCTGGAGTATTCAGCATTAAAGCAATCGTCCCCTAAGTGTATTCTGTGAACTGGTCTTTTTTTAAAATGTGCTTCTCCTGTGTTTTAAGGGATCTTTTATGGGTAAACTTTTAAGGACTGAAGTTATCACAGTCTCACACTGGTGCTCACTGTTATACGTACCAAGACTTGAAGCCACTTCGTCCAAGGAGATAGTAGTTTTTTCTGTTGACAAAGGGTAACTTGGATAACGAGCTAGAAACTTTTGGCACAAGAGTCCTAAGCTTTTCTGTTTTCTGCTTGGTCTCTGCTTGTCAAATTCATCCGCTGTGCTGTCATCAACTGTATCATACTGTTAAAAAATAAATGGTATCTCTCTGCTGTAGAACTTCAGAAAGCAGGATGGTAGTAAAACAAGATATTTTTCATATTCTAGCATTTCTCAAAAAACAGACTTCTATTAGAAAAACAAAATACACATGCCCAACCCCAGTTTTCCCTGTAGGTTTAAAATGTGATTTTTCTCCTAAGTATCTGGGTCATATTCAAGCTAGCAAACCTCTTCTATTCAAAATCCTTGTACAATACAGCTCAGTAGGAAAACATTTGCCAGGACATTCCCCAGTGGCTAAGTGTCGGAAGACAGACCATGTACGACTGGTATTGTTCCACTAGGGGCGTTTATACACGTGTTCTGGGAGAGGGGAAGCAGGGAGAGAAAGGGAATGATTTTAATTAGAGCGGCTCCAAGATCCACTCTAATTTGGCCTGGCAGGCCACTTAGGGAGTTGTTGGGAGTTGTGGGAGAGGGGATGCTGACTCAGCCCCAGACCCCTGTGGGCAGGGCACACTGGGCTAGGCAGATGGGATGGGTCCATGGGTGGGCAGGGAGCAGTATCTAGGAGTGGGATGGGCAGGTGGAGCCAGGACTGGGATCGCAGGACAGTGAGTGTGGGGCTACAGCCTGGGGCAGAGAGCTGATTGTGTGCAGTCTATTCAGCCTAAACAAACAAATTAATTTCCCAGGAACTATTTTTAATATCAAAATGTGGAGTATGTTAACTGCTACCTGTTGACCATCTTGTAACAAGTGACTAATAGCCTTGGTTTTTAAATGGGCCGAAAACATTTTTGGAAGCTATTTCCCCACAAAACAAAACGATTCACTTCTGCAATCCTATATCTGAAGAAAGTTTAAATGTGTTCAACTTATGTACCAAACTTTACATCTGAAAATATTCAGATAAGTTGGAGCTGAACTACATTTTAACTATTATACATAAAACAGTTAGTTTAATCAGTAATTACACCCTTTTTTAAAACACTCACCATGTGACTGCTGTGTCACAATTCCTTTCGTGATTCACACAACTAAAATCTAACATCGAATAATTCTGTGTACATGGCTTGCTGAGAGCTGTGTTGGCAGTTAGCTTTTGATACTTTTGTTTGTTTGGTTACTTCCCCCATCTATCCAAACTGGGGAAATGCTACATGCTGGTTTGGTAGTATAGTTACTTGCAAACAATGACCTATGCCTGTGTACCTAACTAGTAACACTTTCTTAGCACAAGCACCTGGTGATTAGACTCTATGTAGTTTCCTGTTCCTGGTGTTGGAATCAATGGGAAAATGTATACTGTGATAGAAGAGTAATGGTAATGGTTCCTGGATGGTACTGTAAGGTGGCAGTGGTTATGATAATGGTAACGGTTCCTGGAGTAAGATGCAAAAAAGAGGATGTGAAACTTGCTACTAAAGAAGAGTTAAATTTGTTCCCTTCCCCCTCCATGCTGTTAGGTGAAGTGCATGGTGGTTTTCCTTTCTGAAGAAGGCCAAGAAAGGAAATTCCTGAGTAAGGAAACTTCACATAAAAAGCTTTTAGCGTCAAGATTTAGGGATAAGATAGACTGTTTGAATGAAATTTAAACTTTCAGCATCCTGGGTGAAAGAAGGAATATCTTCTAACACTATACTTAAAAATATGCTTTTAAAACTTTTAAAATGTTTCCATTGGTAGCAACAATGAGTTAAAGGATGGACTGGGAGAAAGTTTGTGTAGCTGCACTACTATTACTCAATTAAAAGTGTCACTAACTAGTAACTTGTTACTTTTCACTTGCACTGGGGCAACTGTTCTACACAATCTTATACATTCGAAGCCTCTTACCTGTAGGGAATCAGGAAAAGCCTCATTTTGTTCACTATTTTCAATTGGTCTGAAGAGTTCTTTCTTCTTTTCTCTGTCCCTCATGTCAGGGCTAGCAGCACTAACCAGCATCTTCAGGTTAGAGGTAGGGGTCCATGGATCTGCTAGGGGTCTGTCAACTGGCTTAATCGGTGTAATTGGATTTTTTTCTGGAGTGCAGCCTTTTTGCTTTGATAAATCAATTGGCTCATTTTTCAGGGGAGTCTTTGGAGCAATTCTGGATCGATCACATATGTTTTCCTATTTAAAAGAGAGAGGTTTGTTTAGGCTGACAGGAAAGAAAATGGTTACTGCAGCCATGTGTACTGATAGCCTGCACATAGAATACCACCATGATCTGTATAAATTGAAATCAGTGAGTCAAACCTGTTGTGTCAGGCTTTTGGGTTTTCACCCTTTCGTTGGTGTGGTCAACTCGAAAACACTGGCTAGCCAACTAAAGTTGACTGAGGCTTAAATACCCTACTACTTCTCACTGTCCCTAGTGGGACAACACAGCATTTAAGAACTCCCTAATAGAAAGTACTTTGTTAAGGCTTTAGTACAGGTTATTGTTAGACAGGATGTCTAAATAAATGAACCACTTCCTTCAAATGAAGGGAAGTCTTCTGATTGAAAGATCTGATATTCAAAGCAACAGTATACCTATAAAAAGGATTAACTGATATAGCTGGGCAAGCTGCTGGGAAGTAGAAGACTACATGAGTCACCAGCTGATCCAATTCAGATTTCAGACTGTAAACTAACCTCACTCTTTGCCTCTAGCTATAGCAGTTGACTCCTTTCTTAAACTGACTCCCTGGATCCTACACAGGACTGAGGCCATAATTATCATTTTTTCTTCCTCTTGCTTCCCCTTCGTAGAGTGGCTTCTAGTTGACTTAAAACAGGCTGACTCAAGGAAGTGACAGTGCTCTCTCTTAATTAACTGAGGTCTGCTCTAGAGAAAGAGATCCTTCCTCAGGCCATTAATTCAGTGGTGCTCAAACTTCTGGCCCCACAAGCTGGGTGTGTAGTGCAGGGTCAGTCTGTAGGCCGGATCCTGCACAAAGTCAGTGTATGGAGTAGGTCTATGGGTGAAATCCAGCATGCCAGGCCAACACTGCTTTCCTGGATCCAGCCCCACACTGATGTCACCCTGTGCAGGCTTGATCTAGTGCACAGGGCCACATTATCTGGGCAGCCAGACTCCTCACAGATCCAGAAATCTGGCAGCAGGAGAGTGGCAATGCCACTGCTCTCCTGCCACCAGATTTCCAGACCTGTGGGGAGCCAGGCAGGCCAGAAGACATGGCTCCACAGACCAGAGGTTGAGTAGCATAGCATTAACTGGACTGGCTTTCCTCTCAGCTCTTACAGGCTGAGGACAAAAGGAAGAATATCTGAAACTGATCGACTGAATGTTTCCTGAACCTGCCAAGTACCACCGACTTTTCTTTTTTGGAGAAAGTCACTAGTGTTAAAAGCCAAGACAAAATTCTTCTAGCCCTGAGAGATCAAAAGTCATCAGATCTCAGATCCATCCTATTAATGCTTAATAATTTTTCTACTTTTAATCCTCAAAAATGAGAGAAACTTCCAATTTTTTTCTGGCAGCACGACTCACTGGGTTCTGGATTAGTCAGTCTGAAATGATTGATTGTTGCTAATACCCAAGATAATCAGAAAGCTATTAATGTTAGATTGCATGACTTTCCAAACTTGGAAGGTAACTTTTTGGTACTATGGATAAGTGGTTTCAACCATAAAGGTAGAAATCAGGCCCTGAGAGGTATTACTTATTCAATCAAGCAGTGATTTTGGTGCTCTCAGAAAGTCTTACCCTCATGCTAATATTTTAATTGTTGCAACATGAATTTTATAAACAGAGTCAACTTTGCAGAACAATTCTTGAGCTACATATTATTGTATCATGCTCATTTTGTAGATGCTGCAAGGCATAAGTTAACAAAAAAGTATACAAAATGCCATAACTACCTAAAAATTATTAAGTTTCTCTCTGCTTACTTTAGGGGGGATGGCTAAAGCAAACTGATTTCTCCAGTTCTCATACCTCTGAAACGTGATAAAGTATAGCCAACTGTTGCAAGGCACTAAGGTGCCTGCTCCTGTAAGAGCAGAAACTGCCTGGGGAGAGGGTCCTAAGAGCCAGGCAGAAGCCCACACGTGCAGGTTACTATGGCAACAGGCCAAAGAATAAATTAGCCTGCACCTGCACCCAGTCAGCTGACTGGAAGAGGCAGGGCCCTGGGCACATATAAACCCCAGGGCTGGGAGTAGGGGGAGAGTTTTCTGTCAGCAGGTGAGAGGGAAGGAACTCTTGGAGAAGAAGCTCACGAGAGAGGCTTGGCTGCTTGTTCTACCCACAAGGTCCTGTTCTCCAGGACCTTACCCAAGACTCTGGCTTACAAGGCACTTAGTACTGGGAGAAGCTGGGTGTTTTAAAGGGACAGACCACACCTGGAACCACTTATATTATGTTATAGTGCAGGGCCTCAGATTTTAGTTGCTGTTTGACCGGTGGCTTGGGCTGAGGCTATTGGGGAAGGAGGAGGCCTCATTGGGGGCCTATGAGTGTGGAGAACACAGCGCCAGTGTGGGTGTGGACACAGGGCTGTGGAGAGCCCAGTGGGGACAAGGGGCTGAGGTATAGCAAGGCCCAGGAGAGACAACATAAATACCCTCCGTGAGGCTTGGAGCATGGTAAAGGGATGGTTTGGAGCCACACATCTAGCCCATAAGGCTGAGGGTGTCCTGTGAATCATCCATTGTGAAGTGGGATGCCAAAGGGTCTAAGAACCCACAGGGTTCAGAGGTGTCCAGCAGGACTGTGTCCACACAATAAGATCAAGGGCAACCTCCCTATATTAAAAGTACCAGCAAGACCTGGCAGGCGAGAAAGAGGGTGCCTGTTGGGCAAGATTGGTACAGTCAAGGAGCCCTAGGGGTATCATGGCCATCCCTGGGGACCCCATCCCATGACACCAACTAATAGAAAGACATCACAAAATAGTTCATGTTTAAAACTACCCTGACTACTTTATCAGAGCACATTCTAATTGGAATGTAGAAAATGGGATTTGAAGAGCAAACTTAGCCATATATTACAATTATTGACTTAAGACTAAACTGTCTAAGATTGTTTTGGGGATGAGGACAGACAGCACAAAAGCTGCTAAGCTCTAGGCAGTCAGAATGTTTGCATTAGATGCATACATGCAGAGCTGGATTAGTCACAAGGATGTAAATCGAGGCATTTTTATTTCAATGATCTCTTAGTTGTGACTTAATGCATTGGTGCTTCTTGGAGTACACAGTCAGTGTAAGTGGCACAGTATATCCTTACACTTTCAAATCTGGCAAAAATTCAAACTTTGATCTGTAATGGAGAAACTCTACCTCCATATATAGTTATCATTCTTTATGCTTGGTGCTAAAGGAGCTGTAATGGAGCAAACAAGCGATTTATCTTCAAGTTACCTTACTGAGTGCCAGTTCAGACAACCACTTGTGTGAATATTACACTGAGCAACAGTTGTAAGTGGCTGCAGAACACAACTATCCACTGCCTACCCTTTAAATCTTGGTTTCTTGGTGCTATAAACTCAGCTTGTCCTAGGAAAACCTTCAGACTTTCTGCCATTTTGCCCTTGGGGAGCCTTTATATCCTGAATGTGCCCTCCAGTTGCATCCATGTTTTGTGAAAGTTGTTTAACCAAAAGCAGAAGAGATTTCTGGGATCCGTCTTGCTTCCAAGCTAGTGGATCTTGGTTGTGTAAACAAGAACCAAAAACAAATCTCTGATGGAACCAGGGCTGGGCAGGTCTCAAGGTGTTCTATTATTGACAGAAAATATTGGTATACAAGAAGCCTTGAATAACTCAAATTTAGCACTGCCTGTTTCTGAAACAACATTGCTAAACTACACTAACCAGGAAACCCACCGCAGACTAGAGAAAATTATGTATTAAACATGCAAAACAAACAAAACAGGTTATACTAAGACAGTATTCCACTCCATAGACTTTTAACCTTAAGGCACACATAGGTGTGTCCTATAGTTTATAGCAATGGTGCTGATAATTTTTTAACCTCATACCTCTTTACCTACATAATACTGCTGCCCATACTCCCTACACCCAACACACTTCTGCACCTTCATCCCTTAGGAAGAGTGTCAACCCTGATGTGGCAATGCCATTACTCACTGTGTGTTAATCACTCAGCAGCTCCAATGCCATTATTAAAATTCAAGCAGGTACTCCCAGCGATATGTGGGGGAGGGAATATGTAAATCATACTCTCCTGACTAAACTGGATCATACACCTCCAAACTTGTCTGGTTCATTGCCTACTTCAGATAGTCACCTGCCACAAAACTCTCTTGGGCAGGGTTAGTAATGCAAGGCTATGCTTTCTGTATCCTTTCACAACCATATGTGACTAACTGGTTTGATGTGCTCTACATACAGTTGTCAGACAATATGGCTCCATACACCAGCTTCTCTATAATCCCTTCCCCAGATGGCAACGGTCTTGTTAAAATCCTCTAATTAATCCCGACTCAATTTTGCCTGCTTCTCGAAAGGGAAGAGAAAACAGGAGCTTTTCCGCTCAGTTAAGAGCCAAGATGCTACTTCTTGTTCCCAACCCCAAAACTGTCTACCCGACAAGCAGGAAAAGCAGCCAAACTGGATCGTAGCCAGAAGGCCAAGGATCTTTAAGCCTGGGGTCTATGCTTATCAGCTGAACTAGATGAAGAAACTATGGGAGAGAGGAGCATTACAAGGCGGGAGAACGTTTGTGTACATCTGTGTTGGGCCACGGGTCATGTTTGGTTGTTTTCCTTTTTTAAATAGCAAGTTTATTGCCATGTTTCCTGGTGTCTAATTCCAACACCTGCCCCGTGAGGAACAGATTTGCGCTCCTCCATGCCAGTGGACCTCCCCAGCAGACCCGCTCAACAGCCAGGCGTCAGCCCAGCGTATCGCTTCCCACTACTTTTATTGGAAACGGTTCTACCTCTGCAAGCCTCCCCCAAACTCCCTGTTGTCTGCGTCTGGGGAAACCCAGCTGACGCAGGTGGAAGCCGAAGGCGCCTCACAGCAAGGTGTGGGCAGGTTTGGCTTCTACTCACCTTCTGGGCGTTGTCTCCATCTTCATCGGCCAGGCTGGTTCTTGCAGGCCTGGCTCTGCTCAGGTCTTTCAGGGCTAGGCAGCCTCCCTCCATCTGAAAGAGCAAGCTGCAGCACTGAGGGCTTTGTGCACTTCCTAAGGGGCCGGGCTCTCCCTCCCAGCCCCCCAGGGCTCTCCCTCCCGCGACCTTGACCAAGCCCCTGCTTTACATCAGGGCTCTCTTAGAAGGGGGGAGAGGGAGGCGAAATCCGTGGGCTTGGGACGTGGTGCGAGGGGGCAGGGAGAGCGGGGAGTAGAAAAGGGACGTGTCATGCGAGCTCCGGGGTTCCCGCGGGTCAGTTAGTTTTGGCGCAAAGAGCGATCGCGGCCCCGCTCAAGCCTCCCTCCCCCTCTCCAGCCCAGAGGGTGGGTGCGATGCGTGCGGGCTCTCCCCCACCCCAGCCCGGGCCGGGCCAGCCGCCTCGGGGGCAGGCTCAGAGCCTACCTCTGGGCCACAGCCCCGCAGCAGCTCCGAGCCGTGCGGAGCAGGCAGGCGGCGATGGCATGGGGGCCGCCCCGCGCTGCTGCCGGCGGCGGAGCCCGCACTGGGCGCTCAAGCTTCTATTCTGGCGCCCTGAGACACAGTTTTTCAGATCCGGCCAATCAGGCGCGGCCCAGGGGGGAGCCCTCGCGGCTCTTCCCGCCAATCAGCTCGCGGCCCCGCTCGGAAAGTTTGGCGCTAGAGTCGGCGCGTTCTGCCCGCCCGGGCGCG